CATTTGGTATGTGTATGTATGTAAATTTTCAGTGAGATTTAGAAAATTGCACAAGGAGAGCCACCTGAGGTGACATCTTGCCTAGGGTGCCAAATTGGCTAGGGCCGGCCCCATGTGTGTAGGGTTAAATTCAAAGGGCAAATGTTGTCCTATGGGAACATGTATTGTTAACAATATACTGTATAGCACTTAGTGATTTTTTGCTAACTGYACAGGCATAAACTTTGAAAAAWAAATTCCAAGCAGATGCTTAAAGACAAACTCAGAGAAAATAAGCATCACTTTTCCTGTCCGTTCTGTCTGGACTCTGTGACGCAGGGACCAAACACGCTCTGCCTTCTCCCTCTGTAACTCTGCAAAGCTTTCAGAGTCACCCGGTCATGTTCCAGCCTTTGCACTGTGACTCTGCATAAAAAAAAAGTCAAATCGTTAAACTGCACTCAGGCTTTAKCTGCCTCATTGGTCCAGTTTGTGCTGAGTCAGAATCATGGTYGCCGCAACACCTGTCGCATGACAGATTCACCCACAGACACACTTTTCTCACCATCAGCTGTTCTGTTCTCCGTGGAGCCCACCAGCTGCAGTGTTAGTGTTGTTGGGTAGTTATGACATGGGGTCATTTCTTCAGGCTGCTCCCCATCTGTAGATGTCAGGAAGCAGATTCGCTCATGCARGTGAGATCTAGTGTTGAGCGACTCCATCAAAGCAGCTCTGCAGGAGAACAATCCTCATGCGGGCCTGAGTTTTAAGAGTTCTGTTTGTCTTTTTGACGGTTATGTGTTCCTGAAAAAATCCCCGTGGGTCACAGCAGAAAATAAAATTATGGATGATTTTTCCAGGCAGATTGACGTGCAGGTTTTTCTACTTGTGTTGAATAAACAACCTGTTGCTTTATATTGTATCAGCACAATGTGGTGTATCACTCGAGGGGTGACTTTTTCATTATTGTGACACATTATTTCAGCTAAATGGATAAGAAAAACAACAGAAGTAAGATTCAACTTAAAGTATGTTACGTTTTTATATGTGAAGATTGATAAAAATCAAATCAGATTTCAATAAAACACAAGTATGTTTTCTAAATGTTTCACCTCTCATCCAACAGGCTTCCCCAGTCCTAACCAATCTGATTTTATCATAACACAAACAATAAATATCTACTAACCCAACAATTAGCATTTTACAACTTTATTTGTTATTCCTTTCTATTAAGCATGGAATAATTTAGCAAAATAACAACAAAAAATTGGGCAAATCTTAAATTTCATCTGTTGATTTGAATGTGTGACTAATTAGAGTCAAAATTAAATATTTAAAGAAATATTGTAATGGGATGCCTTACTAAAAACGTTTTTGTTAAAGTGATTTAGTTTGTTTCAGGGTTCTGCGCTGCTGTCATATATGTGAAAAGCTAAAGATGTTAATTTTCCTTGTACAGATGCTTTCACCTGAGTACAGCAAAATGTTTACCGCATGGTCTTTCCTTTAGAAACAAAGAGGCAGTGAGTGTGTTTCTGACAATAAGCTATTTTCTCTGTCGGAGTTTACACGTTGCACTCGGGGACAGGGAGTTGGGATCGGTGCTTACAGCTGCTGGACTCCATTGTTTTGTTGGCGGCCTCTGGCAGGACACGCGCCCACTGACACAATGTTGTCTGAAGCAGAAATGAACCTGGGACCTCGTAGGGAAACATTTAGGTCTCTGTCAGTGGGTGTTGCRTGATTCTTTTAGTTTGTGGTTATGAAGTGCTGGGATAACAGGATTGATGATAAATGTCCTTGATCCCTGAATGCTGTGCGCGCGGGGTACCTGTCAGGCTTTAAAAATGATGTTTCGGACAGCTTTACAGGGTTGAGCTGGGGTCTTTAAACGTTGGCCGGAGTGCTCACAGTCTGACAGCGAAGTACACAGAGAAACCTTTTCATCTCTGCAGCTGACTATTCTGTCACTCCTCTCTCTGATGCCCAGACGTACTGTTTGTCTCTCACCTTTCAGGGGTTGTAATTACCATATTTCAACAATAGAAACTGATTTTTTTGATGCAGAACACCTATTTTTTTGTATTGATCTAGCATTGATTGGTATGTTTACAAGTAACACTTATTAGGGAGCAGGTACTTTTCTTCTTTTCAGCACTGAAAGTTTGTGAAGAACTTTATCTACGGTAAAAAATGAGTCATTGTTCATAGCTGAATGCAGCTGTCTGACTCATGAGGTGTCAAAGAAGGGGTGGTGTGTCTCTGCAAAGCAGCGTTGTGATAAGATGTCCCAAGTCTCTGGGCAAGGACAGTCCTGAAACATGCACAACATGTTGTTCTCTCATGTTTGGAGATGAATGTTCTCCATGCATGAGTGTAGTTTGTGTGCATGTGTACCCCACGGGACAGTTGGTTTCAGACAAGAAGTGACATTGTATACAATATTTTTTAAAAATTGCTTAAAAATAGTTTATTTTGTAAAAAATGTTTAAACTTTTTTTCCCCATCTGAGTTTTCTAGATTTTGTTCAGGTTTCATCAGAGCCCAGATTGCTCACTGTGGCCTAATGTAATTTACTGTTTTTATTTTTTCTTCCACTGGTCTTTTTGCAGTTAAAGAAAATATATAAATTACTTTTATTCTTAAACAAATAATTCGGTTTTATCGTGACTCGCTAAAACAAGAAAATTATCATGTTTAGAGGTAGTTTGAACCCAAAAATGCAGAATCAAAACACAGAGCTCAAAGAACCAATTCATTTACTAAAAGCTGACGATGCAGCAAAAGTACTCATTAGAAATAAGTTCAGGAGGAACACAAATGAGAACTAAAACCATGAACAACTTTCAAACACAACGCACAAATGCTGGACAAACCAAGTGACAAGGTATTTATAGACACACTAAAGATCAAGGCTGACAAACACCTGGGGGAAAGAAAATGAGACTCGGGTGAGAATGGACAGGGTAGGACCTGAGACTGAACAACTAACTGATGGTGAATGGATGGAGGGCTCACAGGGGAGAAAGAACACAAGGAACTTAATGCAGGAGTCACAGAAACTTAACAAGAAGAAACAAATTAAAGTGCCTGTGACATCATTTTTTGTAATACATATGAATGAAATTTTGAAAAGATAACATTAATAACATATAGCAAAAAACATTTCACACCTCTAAGATCAGCAGTTGTTGACATTTCCGCATGTGACACAACAGGAAGTGATGTCAAAGGGGAATGTCTGAATGTGAATAGAGCATTGCTACAACAGTTAACAACACWGATTGTAGAGAAGAATCTGATGATTCTTTAAGTCACCATCAGAGAGAGATATAACAACTCAGAGTTAAAGCATAATCAAAAAGGAGAAAAGTATAGAATCTAACATAAATACCCATAACACAATAACCAAAACACAAGGACTGTGATAAAAGTGGGACAAATGCATGTCACACATATCTTTACCTAACCTGCCATGCATCTCCTGCAGCAGGTTAGACTTGATAATGTGATGGCTGGAAGTGGGTCAATAAAAACCGTTTTTACGGTCTGCAGTGCATTGACAGAACATCATATCTGTCCATCTCTCTCTCTCTCTCTCTTAGTACAAGCAAGTGGAGCAGTATATGTCCTTCCACAAGCTGCCTGCTGACTTCCGACAGAAAATCCATGACTATTATGAGCACAGATACCAGGGCAAGATGTTTGACGAGGAGAGCATCCTGGGAGAACTCAGCGAGCCTCTCAGAGAGGTGAGGAACATGTGCATGACATGACACAATTTTTTTCTTCATGAAGCAAAGTATCAGCTAATAATTTTTATACTGATGACTACAATGAAGTAGCTTTGGTTGTATATGTTTGCGAGACATGTTTTTACACTGCAATTCATCCTTTTTTTTAGTTTGCATAAAACAAAGTGTGTATCTGTGTGTGTGCTTATAGGAAATTGTCAACTTCAATTGTCGCAAGCTGGTGGCATCTATGCCACTGTTTGCCAACGCAGAGCCAAACTTTGTGACAGCCATGTTGACGAAGCTACGGTTTGAGGTTTTCCAACCACAAGACTACATCATAAGGGAGGGCACCATTGGCAAAAAAATGTACTTCATCCAGCACGGAGTATGCAGCGTCATCACCAAGGGAACACTTGCAATGAAACTGTCCGATGGCTCTTATTTCGGAGGTGGGGTGCAATTTCTGACGTTGCGTTTTCGTTTTACAACTGTTGCTGTTCTGTTTTTCACATTTGCTTTTAAGCTTCTTCTTTCTGTTTCAGAGATCTGTTTGTTGACGAGGGGTCGGCGGACAGCCAGCGTGCGAGCGGAAACTTACTGTCGGCTCTACTCTCTGTCCGTGGACCACTTCAATGAGGTGCTGGAGGAGTATCCCATGATGAGACGAGCCTTTGAGACTGTCGCCATTGACCGTCTAGACCGAATAGGTAAAATAATTAGAAACACAAAAACCGACTGGGTAAATGCTTGACAAACGTATTTTTTAAAATGTGGTTAGGAAATTAAGCAAGCTGAAATGAAAAAAATGCACTCACTGGCCACTTTATTTGGTACACCTTGCTAGTACCAAGCTGGACCCCTTTTTTCTTTCAGAACTGTCTTAATCCTTTGTGGCATAGATTCAACAAGGTACTGGAAACATTCCTCAGAGATTCTGGTCCATGTTGACATGATGGCATCAAACAGTTGCTGCAGAATTGTCAGCTGCACATCCATGATGTGAATCTCCCATTCCACCACATCCCAAAGGTCTATTGGATTGAGATGTGGTGACTGTGGAGGCCATTCAAGTACAGTGAACTTCTTTTGGTGTTCAAGAAACCAGTCTGAGATGATTCACGCTTCATGACATGGAGCGTTATCCTGCTGGAAGTAACCATCAGAAGATGGTACACTGTGGTCATAAAGGGATGGACATGGTCAGCAACAATACTCAGGAAGGTTGTGGCATTGACACAATGCTCAGTTGGTACTAATGGGCCCAAAGTGTGCCAGGAAAATAGCCCCCACACCATTACACCACCACCACCACCAGCCTGAACCATTGGGCAGGATGGATCCATGCTTTCATGTTGTTGACACCAAATTCTGACCCTACCATCCGAATGTTGCAGCAGAAATCGAGACTCATCAGACCAGACAACGTTTTTCCAATCTTCTATTGTCCAGTTTTGGTGAGCCTGTGTGAATTGTAGCCTCAGTTTCTTCTTAGCTGACAGGACTGGCATCTGGTGTGGTCATCTGCTGCTGTAGCCCATCCACCTCCTGGTCCAACGTGTTGTGTGTTCAGAGATGCTCTTCTGCCTACCTCGATTGTAACGTGTGGTTATTTGAGTTACTGTTACTGTTCTATCAGCTCGAACCAGTCTGACCACTCTCCTCTGATCTCTGGCATCAACAAGGTATTTGCACCCACATAACTGCCACTCACTGGATATTTTCTCTTTATCGGACCATTCTCTGTAAACCCTAGGGATGGTTGTGGGTGAAAATCCCAGTAGATCAGCATTTTCTGAAATGCTCAAACCAGCCCGTCTRGCACCAACAACCATGCCTCGTTCAAAGTCACTTAAATCACCTTTCTTCCTTATTCTGAGGCTCGGTTTGAACTGCAGAAGATTGTCTTGACCATGTCTACATGCCAAAATGCATTGAGTTGCTGCCATGTGATTGGCTGATTCGACATTTGCGTTAATGAGAAGTTGGACAGGTGTACCTAATAAAGTGGCTGGTGAGTGTATAAATGTATATATAAGCAGTAAAATGATATGTTCTGTTCTCTGAAACTGACACAGGACATGGTAACCATAGATGAGAGTACAGTGTGAACCCTCCTCTTCCCTCAGGGCTTGTTCTGTTAGAGGACATCACATTCTGTATCCAATGCTTGTTTTCTCTTTAAAAACAGCTAAATTAGTTTGTTCTATTTTTGCCTTGCTCAGCCTTTTTTTATATCCTTTCTCACTTGTCATCTTTCTTATTTTCTTTTGAACCATTTTTTGGTCATTAATTCCCGCAGGAAAAAAGAACTCCATCCTGATGCATAAGGTTCAGCACGATCTCAACTCCGGTGTTTTCAACAACCGAGAGAACGAGATGATTCAGGAGATTGTCAAGTACGACCGTGAAATGGTGAAGCTGGTGGACCTGCAGCGGCCGCGGGCCATGTCTATGACCCCCTCAATCGGTGGGATCTTTGCCCCTCCGGGTCAGCCACAGGCAGGCTCGGCTATTGCTACACTCCAGCAGGCTGTGGCCATGAGCTTCTGCCCTCAGATGGCAAATCCTTTGATGGGTCCAGGAACTCTGCAGTCTCCACGCATGGTGCGAAGGTTCCAGGTAATGCAGAACTTGGCCAGTCCGGTCTCTATGTCCCCGCTTCAGTCTCAACTGCCCCAGACTCCTGGAGGGGCGTTCGGCTCTGCGATTTCCAGCCCGCCAGTTCAAAGTCCGCTCACAGCTTCGGGACGGACTTTTCAGTACATGGCAAGTGTGGGACCATCTGGGTCCCAGTTGTCCCTTGTGCAGCACCATGCCCCCAGTCCAACACAGACCCAACAGAGGCCCGCCTCACACAAGAGCACCCACTCCCTTCAAACAGGCAACTTGAGCCAGGACACCCGGGCCCTGTCTGCCTCCCAACCTTCCCTTCCTCAGGAGGGAATGCCACAAGCTTCCTCTGCAGCCCCCAGCCCGCCACCCTCCACCCGCACCTCCAACTCCTCCATCGGCCCCTCTCAGCCCCCTCACCACAGCTTGCCAGGACCCTCAGGGGTGGGGAGGCCGGCAGGAGCCCCGCAGCGGGTTGCCTTTGCCTCCACCCCCCCTCCTGGTGGACCTACTGGAACGGGGGCAGTAGCATCAGCTGCTGGATCAGGACCTCCAGACTCTGCAGTTCCCAAGAAAGATTCAATTGTAAGCCTTCCAGAGCTAGACTCTGCCAGATCTCGGCTGTCTTCCAACTTGTGACCCTGGTGGAGTTCAGGAATGAGGCCTTTTCTTTTTTGTAGGAGAATCTGTTCAGTTAAGGTCAGTCTAGCTGATTTCTCAGCTCGCAAATTGGCCAATCAGCTACTGCCAGCACCAGTGGTCATTTGACCTGGATGCACTGTGTGCTGACCTCAGCAGAAAGATAAGAGCTACTCGGTGTCTGGGAACACTCTGGCAAGAGGGAGTCTATAGAAATATACTAGAATAAAGTTAAGGTTGAACTGGTCTGGTCTACCGTGCCAGCACTTTTAGTCTTAGTATCACCCCTTTCACTCTGCTTCCAAACACCTACTGCATATCGCTGTCTTTACTGTAAAGATATGAAGAAAAGTATGATTAATGYACCTATTGCATACTGTGTAGAATCCATGCAATGCAATCTAGCAGGAGCTGGACTTTAAAAATGAAAATCAGGGACTTGAAGTCAAATGACAATGRCATTTCAAAAAACAATGTTTTGAGTGTAACTTTCTTTTCCTGTATAAGCTGTCGTAGCAAAACAACACTCATCTTCATGTTGTTTAAAATCGTAGTGGAATTTAGTGTTTTAGACCGCTGGTCGATCTTACATCAATGTGTAAATAATCAACGAAAAAAGTAAGGAAGGATAGTATATTCATTGTATCTACCCAAACCAAAGTTGAGCTTAAACACCAAGTCTGGTTGTGTCTGTATCAACAACAACAACAAAAACAAAACAAAACAAAAAAAAAACAACAACAAGAAACATAGAAGAAAATGCCATTTATTTAACTGCCTTGATTCAACGTTAGAAGCCATATATTTGGTTTGTGTGTATGTATGTGTATGTGTGTGTGTGGGGGTTGTTGATACATTTTGGTTCCATTTTCAGATAAGGGACTCACACTCTCCATGATGCATCGTCAATCTTGACTGGTTTGAGGTGCTGACGGTGGCACTGCCCTGTTTTCATGACTCATCCGAGAAGTGGTCGCTCAACATTACTGATTGTAACCTTAAAGGCAAAGATGGTGAAATAATCCGAGCTTTACTGAAAGGAAAACATTTGTGAACAACCCATACTCTGTATACTTGCTTGTTTTTTTTGGTCTAGGTTCATCGATAAACACATGCAATATAATTCTGCAATACTCTACCCCGCCTATATATAAATACATATATAAATATCTATACTTATGCTGTACAGGAAAGTGTTTCTATACGTTTTCTTTTTAATGTAAAATCTTAAAGAATCCAGCAGCTGTTGTGGCTTCACTTGAGGTATTGTAATCCAGTGACCATGTTGTTACCTTAACCAAAAATGTTTGAGGGGGTTGAATGGATATGTTGCAGTGCCATTTTTATTGTTGGAAAACAGACCGGGCAAACAGCTTAAAACTGGTATGAAATCACATTGGGAGTCTGTTTTTGGAGCCCATTCAGTCAGAGCCTCAGAAAAATCACTTTAAAGCCCATTTTAAAAATAGTTATTTAAATAAAAGGGGGTGGTGGGTGCAATATGGGCCAGAAATGCCTCACTTGTATAAAATCTTAATATGCCCAAAATCACCCAATACTTTGGTGAATGTCTTGATTTTAAAGACCCAAAACAATCTTTGGGTTGAAAAGGTGAGACTGGGCCAAGGTTTTAGTTATTTTTATTCGAAACACTCTGATCCTGTTCAACCTAAAAAAAGGAAATCCTTCTCTTGCTGAATGTATGCCATACGAGAAGAAAGACAGCTGATCAGTTCTAAACTGCCATGTAAATAAAAACAACTGAGATTTAAGAAGGATTTTATGATGCAAWACAGGTGGGTGGGCTTTGCTGTATGAAGTGCTGAGTGTCTGAACGATCGTTTTCGTGGGGTGGGGGGGTCTGTTGATGCCTATTGGGG